GACGTGATGTGGCGTGCGGCTGGCATGACGGCGGGTGGGATAGCGAGACTGGTAAAGACATGTTGATGGGAGAGGTATGGGGTGAAGAAGACTCGACCATGTTGGGGGCGTCGTGACAGCTAAGGTACCGGCACCGCATAAGCGGCTGTCAGTTCGATGTGCACAACTACGCTTGTGGCACCACCTCCATGGCTGATAAATTAAATCTCAAAACATTAACATTTATTGACAGGCGACAGCACATCTTGAGATCAAGTTCATAACCTTCGCAACAGTCGAACCTAATCGCCTCCGCGATTTCGTCTGAGTCACATGAGCGGCAACACTGTTCCCTGACTGTGACAGTGTAAACAAATCCTCCCAAGCTGATTTCTTCAAAGAAGATCACACGACGTAACATACGCACATGGCGAGAGAACTGTCAGTCTCTTACACGCTGCAAGTACTGTGGTGACTGGTGGGATGAAGTGGATGTGGTGACGATGGCTCGATGCGTGGTGTGGCGTGACGGATGTGGGTGGGGTGACCTGTTGGCCTGCGTGACCGGTCGACCGTTGGGGTTGGGGTGTCTTTGGTGTGGTGGGAGAGCGTGACTGGAAGAATGGCAGTGACGTGATTATAGTGGAGATGCGGAGTGGAGGTTATAGTGGCGTGCTTATGAAGGTGGCTACTGGGAGGCTGGCTTATGGGGGTGGTGGCTCTGGTTGGAGTTCAGGAAAGAATTTAAAACAAAATATTTTTGGGGAAATTAAATCTTACACTTACCATAAAGAGAAGCTGCACAAAGTCCTGAATGTTTACAAAGTTTGTAGTAGATCACCCAAGCTCTCAGAGAATACACAGGATATCCATAAAGAGCAAAGGCTTGTGCAGTAGTTTTAACATTTATCAGAAGATCATCATATTTATTTTGGAGAGGCTGAATTTCCATTTCTTCCTAAATTAATTAAAAGTTGTATTTAAAATTTTATTAGAACTACACATGTTCACTTTACATTTCCATAATTCCACCAAAAGAAACAAAAGCTGAAACCATCATTGTTGTATCACATTTTACTTTTGCGAAGAAAAACATGAATTTGACCTATTGTAATAGTGTGAAAAATAATACCGAAATTTTAACAAAATATTACGTTTCGATGGCTGCTACAACCAAGTGTTGGCGATCCTGCCACTCTTCCAAAAAATCTCTGTCTACATTACTTACATTGTTCACAGGATTTTATCCAATATGGATTTTACTCATTCAATCTGGCTGCACTTGAGCCCTTGCAAATTCAAAATAGACTTTAGAATTTTGGGGGAACATTTACTAATTAATATTTTCAAACGTCTGCAAAAATAGCTCCAGTTTCTCATCTTCTGTTTACAGACTTTTAAACGGAATAATATACAGGTGTCCGGGAAGGAAATGCCGAAAATAAGCTCTTAAGACAATTTTAAGCATATTTTGTCTAATAAACTACTTGGATGTTTCAAATGCACTCCAAATGCATTTCAAATTCCAATAAGCACTTAAAAGTTGGTTTGAGAAAATGCTTTCTAGGCAAAAATTTGCATTGAAGAAGCATAGAAATACTACAATACTCCAAGAAAAATTAATAAGAAATAAAAAAGGAGTTGAATTGTAAACAAAAGGTACTTTTTTATTATGAGCTAATTTTTCTTTCTAAACAAATATATTCATTCTTTTGTACATACTATACAATTTACATGTTTCTGGAGTGTGTCTATGCTTATGCAATGCAAATTTTGGCCTAGAAATCATTTATTCAAATCAACTTTTGAACCATTTTTAAGAAAATAAGTGTTTCAGTGTTACAAAACATACAAAATTTGAGGCACTTTTTCACAGAAAATTATTGATTCCGAAAAACTTCATTTAAAGTCTCTTGAGTCATTTTCACTCGCAAGTAGGTACACAAATTTAACTTCAAAAGATAGTTTCTACTGTATAACTGTTTATAGACAATTAGAGACTGAAAATGAACATCGAAAAGAAAAATAATGTTTATTATAATAAAACAGTGATATTATTTATATATATATATATATATATATATATATATATATATATATATAAATATAAATATATATAAAAGAGTAGGAGAGAGAGTGTGTGCGAGAGTGAGAGTGTGAGAGAGTGAGAAAGAGATATGGATTTTCTTATGATAAATTTTTACTCATCTTTCAACTATTTATAGTTAAAAGGATGGGAAGGGATTCTGGAACTCAAGAAAACGTGCCCACATAATCTTCTCCCCCCTACGTCACATACAGTTTTTACTGTTTTTTGACTAAATAAATCTAAATCTAAAGAGAGGAGACGGAAGACAATATGTAGGAACTTAACCCATTAAAAAACAAGTATTGAAATAATGTTTTATAATATTTTTATTTACTCTATAATACTACACTAGAAAGAATAAAAGCTCATCTATAATTTTTTTAAACCAATAGTCAATGAACAACAAAATGTTGCGTAAATGCAACTTTGGGACCTTAGGGTATATCAATTCATCTTGATATGAGACGTCTCAATACAATATGCATGGAGATTAACATTGCTTCATTTTATATTTGCAAACTGCAGTGCTTTTGTACAATCTGCACCTCCTCCTGGCATTGCTATCTCCCTTTATAATCACGTGCTCTACACCATGATTGATTGACTAATAATTCCAGGCGCGTCAACTGCTAAGTTCATTAGTATCGTTAATAAAATGCATGTTTGTTTAGTGCTGGAGATAGCGGTTATTTTTCTCTGTTGGATGGCAAGATGCGACACCAAACAACCTGTCGGCTTGCGGGATTTTCCCTAACCATGCATCTCCCACAAGCAGGGCACCACCACATCCAGAACCAGATTTTGCAGATGATCAAGTAATTATGGCATCAGATCGGGAAGATATGGAGTATATGCTTCGCAAATTAAAAGAAGAATACGAAAAATGGGGACTTAAAATCAACCTTAAAAAGACAGAATATTTATGCATAGGAGGAGATGCCTCTAATATTAATGTCGCTGATGACAAGATAGCTAACGTTTCGAAATTTAAATATCTTAGGACTATAATTACTGACGATGGTAAAATTGATGAAAATGTATCTACTAGACTCGCAATGGGGAGGAATGCAATCAAAACTCTGCATGGCCTTGAACGGAATATTGTTTAAAGGCAAGACACAAAACGACACATACTCGTATTCCACAGTATCGTGGAAAGTATTATATTATATGGAGCAGAAATGTGGCCGTTAACAAAACGCCGTAGAGAAAGAATACGGTCCGGTAGAGCTTTGAGCTTTTATGATAAGATCTTTGCAGATAAGACTGGGATGAAATAAAGTAAGTAAAGGTGGTATGGTAAGAAACCTACCATAACAGAAGACTTAGAAATATAAGTTTTCAATGTGTAACTGGACATGTCCAAGAGGATGCAGAAAGAGAGATGGCGGAAACAAATTTTTGATACCGGAAAGAAGACTAGAAGATGTAGACCTGGTTTAACTGGAAGACATATATACATGAAGTAATGGAGGAGAAAGGATTGGAAGAGGGTCAATGGGAGGACCGGGAAATATGGAAATCGAAAACGGCAAACTCTAAGGGGTAGAAACAGTTGAAGGAAAAATGTGATAATTTAGCAAAACAATGGAAAGAGGATAGAGAGAAGATAGAAGGATATAGGAGAGAACTTAAAGGAAAATTTTCATAATTTAGAAAAAGAATGGGAAGAGGATCCAAAAATTTCTAAGAAGAACTTTGATAATTTGGAAGGTGTATTGACAAATAAAATTTCAGCATTTAAGAAGGAAATGTATACAGAATTACATAAAAGTAAGGAAGAATTTAAAGATGAAATTAGAGAAATAGCGAATTTTTCCCAACATTCAGTTCTGCAACTGAAAGTAAGTGTCATCACTGAGGTTACGAAAGTTTGGGAAATAGAGAATAATAACAACAAGTTAATAAAGAGAACTTCGGATGAACAGGATAAAAAAAATAACTAGCATTTATACAAAAGTGTGAAAAATAATATAATATAATAATAATATAATAAAATCAGATTATCAAGTTAATTTATAAAATGTTACGGAGGTAGTTATAAGTATTAAAGAGAAAATAAAGGATATTGAATCAGTACTTGAGGGTAATAGAAATAAGTAGTAGGACATTGAGAAGTTACAAACTGGCAAATCCCATTAGGTCTTAAATTTGAATGGAATTCAAAAGAAGCATTGTGGACCTTTCTAAAATCAGATGATAGTTATTTTTTAATTAATAATGTTCCAGATAAATTCCAATTAAAATTAGTGTATGATATGTCTGTCCCGAAAGCTAAAATTTGGATGGATGTGATGATTGACAGCATTAGAACTTATGATTAACGTGCAACACAATTTAAAGCCAGATACAGGAATGAAGAACAGATTTAATCTTCAGATGTCTCCCTTATTACATAAATTTAAGAATGAAGTCTGAAATTTAAGAATCTTTACTAGACTTTGCAAATGGCAAATGGCTACTTTCAAAGCAGCTGATGAACAAGTGACTGATTTAGAGATGATCACCAATTACCTTTTAATTTACTGTTTTCAATTGAGTAACAATTTCAATCATAGAACAGTTTGTAAATATTTTAGATGAACATGATGAAGTTATGGTTAAAGCTAAACGAGATAAAATATTAATGCTCTTAACGTGCAAAAGAGTCAAATTACTAGAAAACGGAAAGACAAGAAAGAAAAAATTAAAGGATAGGGGAGAAAAATAATGAACGTAGAAATTGATAAAGATTGGTTTGAAGATAAAATAGTAATAGTAACAGTAATAATA